CAAAGATGTAAAAGAGACAGACACAAAAGTGGAAAAAGGTAAGGTGGGTACAGTGGTAGGGGTCGAATATGACAACCAGGGGGGTCATCAGAAGTCAACTGCCAGTTAATAGACTTTTTTGCCGTTTGAATATACGTTGCCCAGGGTGCACCACGTGGAGGTAAGTCTATCGCACACCCCCGGTGGGCCTAATTTCCTCCATATTTTTTCCGAATCATTTCTGTTTGTGTAACGTGGGCGGAGGGGGGGGGGTGGGGGCATTTATACACCCCCAGTTTGCAGTGATTATAAATCAGTAATTTATTACGACCTTGATTACACTTACCCCAAGCTCATCCTCATTGGTTATTTTATCGACTTCCGCGCGGAAAGTGCGATCAGTGCAACTTCGTATGTGTGCGTGTGCGTGTGTGTATGTGTACCTAGTACATTACGTACGTTCTGGCAGAACCATAGTTACTCCTATTAGTTAACTTAGCGTGTTCTACGATTCTCCGAACTTCGGTTCCATTCTCTTGGTAGTGTGTGTGTTTGAATTCAATTACCATCAATGACAAAGCTTTTATGGCCATACTAAGAAAAATATTTCAGCCCCATCTCTGATATACGCCAAAATGTAATGTTATCTTAATAAACAAATAGATATAATTACTTCCTGCAGAGATCTCTGGCGTCTAACTGTTTGGGAGCGCTTACTGTTATCAACGGACCATGATTTTCAAGTTCTGGGAGTTTGAGTGAACATGGATGGATCTTGACAAAGGCACAGTCTTAGATCAATCCAAAGACGGTCAGAAACTGCTAGGTAAACTCTCATCAACAGGCTCTATAATGGAGTGCAAAGAGGTTTCAAAAACTGGATGTTCTTTCCATATAAAGTGGTTTATAGGCAGAATATTTGCTTCTGAAAAGATAGGGTCACTTTCAGTCGCGTAGTTTAAGTTAAGCTAGTCTCGCTATTGAAAATATCTAAACGTTAAAACACACTCATTCGCGAACTAGCCTTAAATAAACTTAATAATTCATTGAACAAATATTTCGAACCGATTTATTAGCATGACGTGCGAGTGACTATTTCATGCTTTCTGAGTTTTATAGAGCAGTTATCCTCTTACTCCCTATTTCAGGGCTGCGGGAAACGCTTCTCCCTTGATTTCAACCTCCGCACCCACCTTCGTATTCATACGGGTGATCGCCCTTATCCTTGTCCCCAGCCCGGCTGCTCCAAACGCTTCGCCCAATCCACCAATCTCAAATCCCACTTGGCCACCCACACCAAACTTCGTTCCCCTCATTCAGCGTCTGCTGCTTCCAGCACACCCACCAACCCGAACCCCAATTGTGGAGGATTGGGTTCAACTTCCGGTCTCACGCGTGTCAAGCAGGCGTCGTTTCTTACGGAGCATCAAAAGCATCACCAGCTCGGCCAACAACAGCAACAGGGCAGACAACAGACTCCGAGCCAAGGGTGTGGCTTCTTTTTGTCAAACCCTGGAAGTAGTACTACAACGGTTCCGTCTACTGCGCTCTCGCCGTTTGATACGTAAGCTAATTTTTTATTTAAAATGATGGAATATATGATATTTGTTGAAAAAGAGTAAAGAGCTTTGTTTCCTAAATTTCACGATTTCACTTATCCTTTGCCCGACTCAAATAAAACTGCGCTGTTAAGCTTTTTTTAACTTTTAAAAAGTCCGTTAAAAAGAATATCATGGAGTGTTGGGTGCTTTGTCCAAGGAAATTCGTTCAAACTAAAAGCATTTCCTGGTTTTTTTATTGAGTTACACCTTAGCTTTGGTTTTGCGTAAAGTTTCTTATAATAGTTGTAGACTCTAAAACCGTCCTGAATAGGCTCCTATTTGTTCTTACCGCGGCAGTCTTGAGGTTGATTCTCATTAGTACACCTCAGCGATCAAAATAGCCATTAAGGTTAGCTAAATCAGGCTAACAAAGGTAGTATTTTTTTAGCTTGTCATCTGGATAGCTTCAGATGTTGCTCCTTTAATGAGCATGAATGCCATTATACGCTTTATTTTGCATGAACAAGTGAGCTATCTGGTTGTCATTCTGAAACCCCGCAATTAACAAATGAGCTTTGTCACGCCATTATCTGAAATTGTGTCAGCGGGTCTTGTAAAGTGCAAGCCACCAGTATTTTTTTTCATTTAAAATCTACCAATTGGTTTGAGGCAAACGTGAGTTAAAAAAGTGGCAGTTTTGTTGAAGCCTCAATCGGGAGAGACTCGGTTGCTGTTTTCTGGGATTGCTTTTCCCTTGAATTCTTAGTTATCAATGAAAAAAACAACCCACAGGTGGTTTCTGTTCTTGTTACTTCAGATGGGGGTGCTTGTGGAGATGCATCATTGCATATTTTAGTGGATTCGTAGTCCGTCACACTTTTTCCACTATTAAAGCAGTTGACAGACTGTCAGGAAAATGCTATTTCCTAGCCAGATGTAGCATCGTTTTCCCTAAATCAATTTTCGATCTTTCACGTAAGTAAAACTTTTGTTCTCTCTCACCACAATTATCTTCTTGGGAGTTTGTCGATCTCTCATATTTAAACGGACAATTACGCGCACAGATGGGTAACTGTCGGGGGGGGGGGGGGGGGGGGGGGGGGGGGNGGGTGGGGGGTGGGAGGGGACAGTAATGGGAAGATAAGGAGATGTGGAAATAGGGATAACTATTCCTATTGCTGTTACCCGTTTTATCCACTTCAGCCTAATTAAACGAAAATGACTTCCTTACTGTTCAAATCGATTTTTTTACCTTTAATCGTGGTCTTCTCGCTTACTTGATATTCATCACTGCGTCTTAATCTTGCAATGGAAATTATTTGCATGAAATTGTCGATTTGCCAATCATTATTCCAAGTTTTGGTTTTTTGGTAATGATTTTACAATTTTGTAGTATATTTTTCTTTCTAGAGCGATTGAATAGGTAAATTCCCTTTTCTACATGGATTGGAAGGCCTTGAAAATGTCGAGATGGAGCATACTGGGCACAAATTATAAATTTTTTATTTTGTCTCAATTTTTTACTCACTTGCACCTTACTCTCCTCTTTCTGTGAGCCATACCTTTACAACACGAAAACCTAAACCCTCTTCGCCCTCAATGCAATTCTCTGTTAATTAGGCTCCTTTTTTGAGACGTGGGCAACCCAAGAATATCCTAAGAGGTGATGCAGTTGTCCTTGCAAAAATCTTTCTGACCCAAGCACATGCACACGCACACACACAGACATGTTGCACATGCGCGTGTCTGGGCAAATCACATACTGACTCATTCCCCTTATACGCTTTTTTTTCTCCTTCTCTCATGTCAGTGTCGCCTGCTTTCACAAAGAGATCCAAACATTTTGTTCCCGCGAGCTAACGTATTTGTTGATAATTTAGAATTGAAACTGAATGATTGATAGAATCCACATCATTAGAAAATTTGTTGGACGGGAAGGTGGGTTCTCTCATTGGTGTCTCTCTCTTTTTCTCTCTCTCTTTGCTTCACTTGCATTAATTGTGACTGGAATTTCTCCAATCGAATTCCATGCTCACTTTGGAAGTGAAAGAAGTGAGTTCGCACTCTACCTCTCCTCTTGTTGACCACACTTATGACCAGTGTGGCCATTCTTCCGTAGCACTGGGTGTGCTCCAACGAGTATCAATCTTCTGGGATTTGTGTACTCAGATCATCGTGTCACCAACGCACATGTGTTTGAATGATAGGACGAGCTCTCGTGAGCCCAGAATGATAGGTTTGTAGGGCACTATCAATACGCCATCGTTCCACAGAAATGGAGGGACTACCTACCTAAGTGCATTCTTTCCCCCTTCTTTTGTTCCTAATTAAATGGTTATGCAAAGGTTGAATCTAGTCTTTTTCCTGTTTTAGTTCAAGAGCTGCTTCGAACTCTTCTTATATGACGGCAACAACAGCAACTGCATTTTACAAACCCTTCGGCGAGGATGACGTTATTTCTTTTTCCAACTCGCCAACAACCCTCTTTCTCTCCTCTACTAATTCAACTTCTATTATGAAAACTGCTTCCTCACATCTTCTGGCCTTCCAGTCATCTGGAGGATCAGCAACTTCAACACAACAACCATCGTCCTGTGTTTCACCATCTCGTCCACGAATCCTACTCACAAATCGCGGAAGAAGTCTCGCTTTTCAGCGGAATGCTCCAGCACAAACTCCAACTGCGGCGACAACTTTGACACTTATTAAACGTGAAGATTACAGTTCGCACTTCGAAGATCCTTTACTGTCATCCACTGTCCTTCCTAACCCCCCTCCTCTACACTGCAAGGCTAACAGAAAACAAAACCTCTTCCCGCCTACTCAAGGTATTCCCCAGACTGGCCTTTCTTCTGGCAAATCTACTGGAGATGAAGAAGAAATCCATGAAATTGGGTCGATAAAAGTAGAGATGAATGAGGATGTGGAGGGAGTTAGGCAGGAAGACGAAGAAGACTTTATCTGCGATATCCCACTCTCTGCGTCGAATTCAACAGGTCCTGCTGGATCAATAACGTGTGGAGTGGCTCGTAGGGGTCGTAAGAAAGCATCTAAACGCGGTGGATCAGTCAATCGCTCCCCTATAATCCCTAAATCCTCTCCTTACTTCACTCGTTCCTCTGTACCCACTTCAGCTGTTAATCGACGTCAGAGGCGTCAAAGAAGGCTTCAGCAGCAAAATAAAAGAGGTCGGGGTACCACTACTTTGTCGTCTTCGTCGAGTTATCAGCGTGGAATGACTAGAAGTCATCACCACTATCAACCGGTTATGCGCAGAAGAGTTCTTTGAGAAAGTATTTCAAGTCTTCTAAATCGCCTCTTATTGCATTTATTTCACTTAATGAGGCGTTTATTTTCTGTGTGCAATATATTGTCGTCTCGCCACTGTTGTTTTCAGCGCTATTTTAAATTCCCTCTTTCAACTTCTTTATTTTTTCCTCCTCTAAGTCGATCTCGCCTAACTTTTATTTCTCCTTTTGATGTGTATGTGTATTGTACCTAAAGTAATGTGTGCGCTTAAGAAAACTAAACTCCACTGTACGTAGAAAGCGCGCAATTGTGACACGATTCCTGCTTTTCTTCTCTTCTACAAGCATGCATAATAATCCTTTGTTCTCATATCCCCTCTATCCCCACACATACACAATTACTAGTGTGACTTTAATCTTAATTATTCTTGTTGATATATCAATACCTACATGCGTATATTTTGAATGTTGTCTTATCAAGGTTTCACGTTTGAAATCACACGCTTCAACAACTTATCAGAGTTGTTTATGAGGAGTTCAAATTGGAATCTAATTAATGGCTTGTTTCTTTAGTTTCTGTGCAAAATAGACGGGATCACGTTCTCCGAAGTTTGTTTATAGAAATCCGATAATTTCAACCAATTAATTGCAGCTTTTTATTGGCATCGGCTAAAAATCGATAAATGTCGAGATTACAATTTAGCTATGCGATTAGCTAATTAAATGTCTAACACAAGCTGGTAAATCGATGCTAAACTCAATTAATTCACTTTTAATTTAATTATGGTTCTTAACTATAGTCCGAGTAGTAAAAGAGAATCTCCAGTTAAAAGCCAAAGAGGTGTGTGAATTTCCTAATTGATTAAAAGACAGAGACGAGGTTAGTACAATCGGAAACCATCTGGTCATTCTACAATTCTTCTTCTTACAGTGGTCAGGTTTTAAATATTTAACACGCACTTTCATTAACTGTAAATTCAACCTCGAAGACTTGTATAAACAATGCCGCAGTGCATTAACCATCTGAATTCGTCATTTTATGCAATGTTTACTTTCTAATAGACAAAGAGAGGACTAGCAATCACTGCACTTCCTTAGTCAACAAAAAGTAAATGTAATAGGCAAACTCACTCTAAGGAAATGCTTAAACGGCTAAGGGCATTGCGATGATTCATAAACTAGAAAGCTGTTCTATTAGTCTACCTAATGAAATGAGGCCAAGGACTGGCTTGATAGCCCAAGTCGGGACAAATGCATTTGGAATTACAGGAAAGGTATTTTAACACCATGCTGGGAAATGGGAGAATTTTGCGCAGGGCCGTAAGACAGCAAGCAGCAAGCATAACTCTTAAGCCTTCCTACGAAACCTCGCGCGCGTTAGTCACAGAATCGCACGTGCGCACTTCGCGTTCATGTGCGAACATGCATTCATCTATTAAAGGCAAGTGCGGACGTATAGGGCAAGTATATATTGATCCATTTGCGCTGGCCAATTGGACACGTACATAAAGCGCTAGTCTAACGACCAGTCGATTAATCTTCTTGCGTCAGCGTGCGTTCATGAGCAGAGAATGTGAAAACGCCTGTGGGCAAAGACCAGCGGTGATGGTTAGGTAACGTGATGTCGCGCGGGCAAACGCAGAGGAGAGAATGAGTACGGAGGGAGCATAAATGTTATTTCGTAAAATTACTCCTATATCAAATTTGTTTACGGAAGTTCTGCTACAAGTGATCATAAATGGCAGCCTCGAGACTTGGTCTAAATAATATGTACTACAAGTACGTAAAATCTGATAGCAGAAGTCTTTACAAAGCCCCACTTTTAAAAATTTATTAAGGTATCAGGGGTAAATAAATTATCGAAAATATGGGATCTGTGTGCAAAGTCAGCAACTCCTGCATAGTCAATAATAATAATTTCAATCTGGGGTTTGCGATAGACTTACCTCCACGTGGTGCACCCTGGGCAACGTATATTCATACGGCAAAAAGTCTATTGACTGGCAGTTGACTTCTCACTTCAAACTACCATCACCTCACTCTATGCCATATTCGAATATTTCTACAGTATTCACCTCACCTTTGTTCTATCTTTGTGTTTGTCTCTTACATCTTTGAAACACTCTTCTGTTCCCAACACCTATCGACTTCTTTCAATTTGATGTTCCTTCCCCTCTATGAAGCATGAAGTCAACTAAAGGGCTAATGATAACCATCAAGATGCCTGCTATTTGATATAAATAAAGTTTTTGATCATCCAAAAGGACTCTCTACGTACTACCGCTCTTGTTCTTAATACCATCGATAGCATGACTAAACTTAAAGAATATTCTTTACCTTTAGTTAACCTTTATAGTGTTATACCCTGCATGAATTTCTCCTGGAAATGTATTTTTATGTGGTTGAGCACATCAGCAACCATGAAGAACTTAATGAAGTTTCTGTGATGAACAACACGATCAATATTCAAACGGCCAGCGACTTGGAGTGCACCATTAGATAGTATTATCACGTTTGTTTTATTGAGAGTTGTGACCATGTAAAGTAGGGTAAAACTACCATTATTCGCGAGGCCACTTTAAAAGATAGATCGAAGTAGAATAGATATCACCTGCCCCCCCCCCCCACCTGCAAAACTTTTGTTCCTTATAATAAAAAATTGATGTAACTACCAACTTCGAAGTGCGAATGCGTCAGTACTGAACGAGAAACAGAAGAAAAGGGTATGATTAGATTGTTGATAGATTCGTGTTCTTGTTGATCATTGTTGAGCAGGCGAGAATTAATGCAGAGTTATGATCTGGTGGGCGCACTGGAGAAATCGAGCCGACCCTCGAGTTCGCCTATTAAAATTTCAATTATAAAAGACAAACTTTAGTTGGGCATACTCTTTAATGCCATACTTACTGTTAATGAAAAAAGGTAAGTAACGAATAAAGTAATTGTGCATCACAGTGCAGTCAATAATTATATATTTCAAACGGGAAGCTTTTTGTTAATTATCATTAGCCCTTTAACTGACTTCGTGCTTCACAGATGGGAGGAGTACCAAAGTCCAGAAAAATCGAGGGGTGAGGAACAGGAGAGTGATTCACAGATGCAAAAGAGACAGACAGTCATAAATGCAGATCAAAGGTAAGATGAGTATCGTGAAAGTGGTCGAATATGACATAATGTCAGCTCATGGTGCTTTGAAGTCAGAAGTCAACTGGTGGTTTATAGACTTTTTTGCCATATGAGTACACGTTGCCTAGGATGTACCATGTGGAGGTAAGTCTATCGCTCACCCCGTGAAGTCAATATAAACAATCAGTGGTTTTAGATGAACAATAGTCATGGATCAAGTAAAATTTAATTTTATGGCAGAGTGCAATGTTACAGTTGAATGGTATTTAAAAGTTCCCGAATATTTTCTTGAACCTCCTTTGACCCTTAGGACGTGGCTCAAGTACAAGCATGGTCGGTCTAAAAATGTGCCAGGAAATCACGTACTATAGAAGAACATGAAGTGTAGGTTATTCTTCCCCAGTTGGTAGGGTGGGGGGGGGGGGGGGGGGGGGGGGGGGCGGGGGT